CCCCCCCCGGCCCCCGCCAGCCCACAGGCTCCGATTGCTGGATGGCAAATGGGGAACCAGGGTGGGTGGTGGTGGGGCGGGACGGTCGGACCTCTTGGTCCCTCCCCCCGGCCTGCAGGCTCCGATTGCAGGATGGCAAATGAGGAACCACAGGGAACCGGGGTGGGTGGCGGGACTGGGGACTGGTGAGCAGGCGGAAGATGGCCCTGATCGCAGGCTAGGCCTAGGGACCCTACCTGTGCATGACTTTGTGCGCTGGGCCTCTAGTTATATAATAAAGTAGGTTTTCCAAATGCATATGTTAAAAAATTAATAGATTTGCCCTAACCGGTTTGGCTCAGTGGATAAAGCGTTGGTCTGTGGACTGAAGGGTCCCAGGTTCGATTCCAGTCAAGGGCATGTACCTTGGTTGCAGGCACATCCCCAGCACGGAGTGTGCAGGAGGCAGCTGATCAATGTTTCTCTTTCATCGATGTTTCTAACTCTCTATCCCTCTCCCTTCCTCTCTGTAAAAAAATCAATAAAATATTTTTAAAAATTAATAGATTAGTTTACCTGTTTTTACTTATGTAGACATGTTTGTGTAATTAAAATTAAGTATGTGCCCTAGCCAGTTTGGCTCAATGGATAGAGCGTCGGCCTGCAGACTGAAGGGTCCCAGGTTCGATTCAGGCCAAGGGCACATACCTGGGTTACGGGCTCGATCCCCAGTAGGGGGCGTGCAGGAGGCAGCTGACCAATGATTCTCTCTCATCATTGATGTTTCTATCTCTCTCTCCCTCTTCCTTCCTCTCTGAAATCAATAAAGAAATATATTTAAAAAATAAAATAAATGAAATTAAGTATGTATGGCCCTGGCCGGTTGCTCAGTGGTTAGAGCATTGACAGGTGGACCTGAGGGTTGCAGGTTGGATTCCTGGTCAAGGGCATGTGCCTCGGTTGCAGGTTCCCCAGCCCGGGTAGGGGCTCATGCTGGAGGCAGCCAACTGATGCATGTCGATGTTTCCCTCTCTCTCTCTCTCTCTATCTCTCTCTCTCTCTCCTGCCTGCCCCCCTTCCACTCGCTCTGGAAACCAATGGAAAAAATATCCTCGGGTGAGGATTTAAAAAAAAAAAGTATGTATGAAAGTTTAATTTCACAGGAAGGTTTTTTTTTTTAATTTATTTTATTGATTTTTTACAGAGAGGAAGGGAGAGGGATAGAGAGTTAGAAACATTGATGAGAGAGAAACATCGATCAGCTGCCTCCTGCACACTCCCCACTGGGGATGTGCCCGCAACCAAGGCACATGCCCTTGACCGGAATCGAACCTGGGACCCTTGAGTCTGCAGGCCGACACTCTATCCACTGAGCCAAACCGGCCAGAGCACAGGAAGGTTTTTAATATGTATTGCTGTAACTTTAAATTTATACTAAATAGGTGTCGTAGATGCGTGCACTCACCAGTCACTGTAAGTAAACAAAAGTGCCCTTGGGAAACTGAGCCAGTTGGCATTAAAACTGCTGCAGAAAGTCATGCATGCACAAAAGAACCCATTACCGCGCAATGTGATTCTAATCATGCCTGGGACATTGTTTCAGAGCGTTGGCTCTTGGATTTAAATGTGTAGACGGCCCTGGCCGGTTTGCTCTGTGGCTGGAGCAGCCAACTGCAGACCGAAGGGTCTCGGGTTCGATTCCTGGTCAAGAGCATGTACCTCGGTTGCAGGTTCCCCAGCCCCGGTAGGGGCACATGCAGAAGGCAACCAAACAATGTGTCTCTCACATTGATGTTTTTCTCTGTCTCTCTCTCCCCTCCTCCTCCCTCCCTTCCACTCTCTCTAGAAATCAGCGAAAAAAATATCCTCGAGTGAGGATTAAAACATTCATTGAAGTCAGTATTATTTGTGTCTGTACTCCGCCTCCTGGGAGCTGGGGACACATGGTGAACAGACCTACAAGTTTCTGCCACTATGGAACCAATACTCTCAAGGGGGACAAACACTGAATTAAAAACCTTGACGAAATGATACAAGGTGCCCTAGCCGGCTTGGCTCAGTGGATAGAGCGTCGGCCTGCGGACTGAAGGGTCGTGGGTTTGATTCCGGTCAAGGGCACATGCCTGGGTTGCAGGCTCCATCCCCAGTAGGGGGCGTGCAGGAGGCTCTCTCTCATCACTGATGTTTCTATCTCTCTCTTCCTCTCTGAAATCAATAAAAATGTATTAAAAAAAAAAAAAGAAATGAGACAAGGCAACAAGAGGCAAGGGAGAAAATGGGGTCTGGCGGCAGGTCTGGATTTTGAGGGCTGGATGACACTGAAGCTGGGATGTGAGCGTGTGGAGGAGCCAGCAAGACTGAGGTTTGGGGGAAGGTGCCCCCTGGGGAGGGAACAACAGGTGCAAAGGCCCTGAGGTGGGAACCAGCTGGAGAGCCTGCCTGCAGGGGGCACAGAGCCTGTCTTGTTGCCGTGGCATCCCTGGAGCGGCTGCCAGTTCCCCGGGGTTCAGCTTCTGGCAGGCAGACTTGGGAGACCCAAAAGGCAAACCATCTGGGGATGAGACTGTGAACTGATGAATGTGACACAAGAATGAACTGAATCCCTACAAGGACATCTTCCCGCGCTGAAGAGTGGCCCGCGTCCAGGTAGGCGATGACCAAGGAGCCATCTGGGCAGACGGGGCAGATCCCTGAGCTCCAAGGATGGGGAAATGTGGGGCGCAGTTACGGTGTTTTGACCAGGTTCAAGCCTCGGACTAATGAAAGGACGGGGTCCTCTCATTGCCACGTGCAAGTCCCAGCTGGAGGGCAGGGCCCTCACAGCACAATCATAGCAGACCGCTGTGGTTGTAAGCTTGAACCTATGGTCCAAACACGTAGCCCTATGTGCCTGTGTGCTAGAGTTCAGGTGCATGTAGTTAAGTGAGGTTGGAGCTCACCAGAATGCTGTAAACAACGTGATCACGCCCCTACTTTGCCTCGTGGCATCTGCTATAAAGTGGGCGCTGGGTTGTCTCCTCATCAGGGAGGCAGCGTCCCACCGAGACCCAGCTATTATTCTCTTGTCTGTCTTTCCTTAATCCTTTCACCCCCCCACTCGGGATCACCCTTGGCTGTGCCCGCGTGGCACAGGGAAGACCTCAGGAGCTACAGCAGAAAGACGGAGCCACCAAATAGTAAGTCAGACGAGAGATGCCACAGCATCTCCTGCCACAGGGGTGCTGGAGACCCCAAAGGCTGGGAGACAAGGACGCGCCTAAAAACCCTCCTCCCCAGCCATTGGAGGAGTTTGCCCTCAGGGACGCGTGGCAATGTCTGCAGACATTTTTGGTTATCATGGCGCGGGTGGGGTGGGTGGGGTGGCAGTGTGGGAGGCCAGGGATGCTGCTTCACATTATGCGGCCCGGCTACATAAAAGCCCCAAACGTCAACATTGGCAGTATTGAGAAACCCTGGCCTAAACCAACAGAAACCAGAATGGAGAACTCAAGATGGTCAGAAAAGGAGAATTAGGGAGTGAGCAAAGAATCTTTTTAAAAAAAAACCCATATATTTCTTTATTGATTTAAGAGAGGAAGGGAGAGGGAGGAAGAGATAGAAACATCAATGATGAGAGAGAATCATTGATTGGCTGCCTTCTGCACGGCCCCTACTGGGGATCAAGCCTGCAATCCGGGCATGTGCCCTTGGCCAGAATCGAACCCGGTACCTTTCAGTCCACAGGCTGACGCTCTATCCACTGAGCCAAACCGGCTAGGGCTGAGCAAAGAATCTTAATATAGGTTTATATAAATTCACCATATGGACTACTTATGAGATTTACTACTGCTTATTTATATATTATTTATATGGTTATTAAACATTTATTCGATAAAAAAAAAAAATCAAACCTAAATGGCCAAGGATCAGTTCATTGGGAGTGCATTCTGTAAGTTCTAAACAAGGGCTCCAAAGCAAAGGAAGACACCTCTGCAAATACAAATAGTTACAACTCAGCCAAACCTGAGGGCTGGGGAGGGGAAAAGCCTGAGAGGAGGTAGCACAATTACGTATATAATGGCTCATATGACGGGGATCAGAGAGTTAGGGCAAAATAGAACCTCAATTATTTCCATTAATGCCTGTTCCTTTCCTTGCATTCTTTTTTTCCTCTTTTTTATTTGTCAGAACTCTTTGCATATGGAACACCTTTTGTTGGCTGTCTGCATTCTCAACTTTTTCTCACCTTGTCTGTCTATCCTTTCTCTAAACGGAGGGGTCCCAGGGCTATTCCACCCTGCAGGCCCCCATGAGGTTCCTGATGGAGTGAAGAACTTGTCAGAGGCTGGCTTCTCCTCTCCCCTGCACTAGACCTCCATTAATGCACCCAAGATCTGCTT